TATTTTAGAAAGTGTTATGGTCATTGTGTTTTGCTTATTTAAGTATTATTATGATAATCATATGAGATAACGGTCATAATGATTTAATTTGATCGTCATAATTAATATCGTCATCATTTGTAAGGGAAGATGATTTGCCCATCCCTAGACATGTGACTAAATTTTGCTAGTATACCCATGAAATAAAGTTATTTCGTTAGCAAGTCAAAAATTCTAACATTGTTACGATGTAAAAACATCTTTTGATTAACCAATTTTTTTTATAGAATTAAATAATATTAGATCATCGCACTATGTTTGTAATTAGACCGATGTAGTGGATTTTTGAAAGAATACTTGTTGAAAAGGTTTATTGTTCTACCTTTATTTACCGATACTATTTGTGAGGGTTTATCTAAAAAAAATCAAAAATCTATCCAAAAATGTGATAGTATGTGAAATATACGGTCAAGAATTCCAAAACTGTAAAACAAATCGTATCGATATGTATGTTGTGTTACACAATTATTTAGATTGTGAAAATATTTTTGTGTACTTTTGATTGATTATGACAAGTTATGTTATTCAGGTCATTTATTCGGGTAAATTTGGTAATGTGCATACTATAGTTGTGACCCGAAACCCGAAACCTTTCCGAAACCTTCAAATTAGAATGTTAATAACTAATTAACATTTACTATAAAGTAATCAAACCATTCTTGAAATGCAATCTAATTATCATATACTTTAAGTCTCAAAGTTTAAAATCAAATTTCTAAGCCTTTCAGTATAGTGATAGAGTTTCGGAAAAGGTTTCGGGTTTCGGGTTTCGGTTTCGGGATTTTATATATAGTTTCGGGTTTCGGGTCGCAACTTTAGTGCATACAATGCAATTATGACATCGTTATGATGTATAAAGTAGTGTTCTACGGTCGCAGAATTTGTACAGAATTCTGCGAGCAGAATAAAAATTATTGAATATAGTTTATTGTGATTAGGGTTGTTAAATTACCGTAATTTATGTAATTTTTGCATTTTCATGTAATCGTAATTTTTGATCACATGATGCATGGATTCTGCGATCAAATTTTCGGTGATTTTAGGAGTTAAAATTCGGATCATACTTTCAAATCAAATAGTAAAATAATGCAGGCCAAACTTTTGTAAAGCCGGTACTAAATATAAAACATGATAAAAATTACACGAAATTTGGTTTACTGGAATTTACGTAAAAATACATGAAATTTGATTTACTGGAATTTACGAAATGATGGTACATCACGTGATCGAAAAGAAGAGAGCCACGCAACGCCATCACAGGTGGGTCATGCAAGCAAGCAACTCAACTCGCGCGTGAAGATCACAAGACAACTGCAGAAGCAAGATTTCGGGCGTGCGAAGATCAATCGAAAAGGGGCAACAATAAACAGCAGAGACCGTTAATGTTACACATATATTAAAACTGGTGAGGGATTATATCCATCACAATTGAATCCAATATAAATAATTTAATTTGTGATTGATCACAGGAGAGAGGGATTCACTCTGGATCGGGCACTGTCTCTGCTATTGCAACAATAAGAACAGCACATGCTTGGCGCAAAAATAAGGCGCCAAAAAACGGGTAAGTACAGTATAAGTAAAAGAAACAACGAATCCAGGCTCTTCTGGCGCGGAGAAAACAACAAGCGAAATTTCGCCACCCACCCAAACAAGAATACACGTGATTCCTTCATTTCTTCACTTGCGGATGACTCCACCGGCTAATACTACTGAGACTCCCAGTGCAATTACGATTGCCTCTGTCGCGGGATGTCTCTGCCTTTCTGACCAACTCGGTCAATTGCTCGCTTTCTATCGTGTATTCTGCTAACCTTAAATTCAATAAAATACCACTTCAGGCATAAATCATCAGCCGACATAGTCCAAACATTGAATTTTGTGTAAACGTATACTTTCGATACATGAAATTTGATTTTACTGAAATTTACGTAAAAATACATGTATTGTAAGATTGTAACTTTCTAGTATGAAGATTTCTGGTTACTATAAAAAATTATTGCGTTTTTCAAATTACTGTGATCAGCAAGTTCCACGTTTTGCAAATCCGTGATTGGCTAAACATAATTTTTAGCCAATTACGGATTTGCATTTATTTTAGATTTATGATTTTCCCAGTGTGATACATGAAAATTGCTGATTACAGTAATTTGAATAGCGCGATACTATGCGATAACTTATGCAACAAATCTAGCATCGCCCATAAAAAAAATACAGCTGACACCACCTGTAAATAAAATATATATTGTATATAATGATAAAGTTGAATAATTACGTAAATTAAGAATCATGCGATACGTATAACAGGAGGAAACGTACCCGATCCAAAGTGAATCCCACACATGGTGTGATCAATTGCGATAAATTAAAACTGAAATTATTTATATTAGTTTTAATTTATCACACCATGTGTGGGATTCACTTTGGTTTCCTCCTGTTGATACGTATATACAAAATACTATATGTACAATTGTATGACGCCAGCTGTATTTTTTTTTTATGGGCGATGCTAGGGCTGTTTAACATATACTTACAACTAATAATATATGCATAATTTGATTTTTTACGTAATAATTACGTGCGTACGTATGTACGTAATTACCTTGCCCATCTCCGAGAATGTGTACCACAGAGCGAAAGCCCGTAACTAAGCATAATGATATATTATTGTCAGTTACAGGCTTTTGCTCTGCGGCATTCAAGTACAGTAATTACCGGAATATTCGGGGTAAATAAATGATTACATCACCCGGAAATTTTGTGCCCTGATTGTATACCTTGCAGTCATATAAAATGGTGATTGAGTTTTTTGAAAATTTTTTTTTCGTCTTAGCTGCTTAGCTGCTTATATCTTTACTTTTTATTACAATTATTCTATTGTATACCTTGCAATCATATAAGATGTTCATTCAAAAGACTATTGATTTATTTGAAATTACAGATGTTTTCGTTTTAATCTTAGCTACTTATATCTTTACTTGTTATTACAATTATTTGACTCGTCCTAATCCATTTCCTGGCCCGTTACCTTTACCATTTATTGGAAACCTTCATAATCTTGCTTATGATATAAGACTGTTTTATGAACAATGTCAACAGAAATATGGTGATATTTGTGAAATAATGTTTAATGGACGTAGATGTATCATTATCTCACGGCCTGAATATATGAAAGAGTTTTTAAATCCTAAATCATTTTTTCTGAAGATCCCATATTCGCAAGGAATAGATGAATTGGGTTTTTATGGACGTGGACTTTTCTTTAATCATGATTATAAAAATTGGCATTACCATAGGCAATTTTTTACTCAGGCATTATCACCTAGCTTTATAGATACAGCAATAAATTCTACAAATCAATTATTTGAAGAATTGAATAAATATTGGCAATCTCTTGGAAAGCAGAATACCTTTAATAATGATGATGATGATAATTGGACTCTAGAAACTGATTTTTCTGCATGGTTTCATGGATTTGCGAATGATATTATTTCAATAGTAACCACTGGTGAACGAACATATGCAATTGCTTCCTATTATAATACTCAAAGTATTATCAAATCTGATCATCCTGATGCGTTGGTAGAAGATGGTAGTAAATTTGTCAATGCATCCGTAAAAGTTATCAATGATATGTCGTTTTATATGTTCGTTGGGCCATTCATGAGACATTATGTTCCAATAATCAAAAATATGACAATTCCTATGTTGAAAAATCGTGATTACTTATTTGAAAGATTTGACATGATAATTAAGAATAGAAGAAGGAAAATTGATGAATTACCATTGGATACTGAAATGAAAAGTGATATGCTAACTTCGTTAATTATCGCAAACACACCGAGGGATACTATTAATGTAAAAACAATAGATGGTGAAATGCTTAGACCCATGAACGATGAACAAGTCAGAATGATTTTAACGGAAGCTATTTTAGGTGGAACAGAAGCTGTAAGTATCGTATTCTACATTTGAATAGGTTTTGGTTTGGTGATTTTTATTAATATTAGTTTATAATTATTGCATTTAGACTGCAAATGTATTCTGTTTTATAACTTATTATCTTTGTAAACATCCAAACGTAAAACAAAAGATGCTTTCAGAAATTGACAATATATTTCCTTTTAAAAAGTTCTCTGTGTCACGAGAAGATATTTCAAAGCTGAGATATTGTAAAGCAATAATTAAAGAAACTGCTCGCATATTTCCAACAGGATTTATTGCATTACGTTATATTAGTGAGGCGTGTGAATTTTCTGGATATAAATTGTCCGCTGATGCTCAGTTACATTTGAATATTTTAGCAGCGAATAAACACCCAGAATTTTGGCCTGATCCTGAAATTTTCGATCCGGATAGGTTTTATGATGATCATAAATATGATCAAAAATTTAATGATGAAAATTTAATGTTTTTTGGTGGAAGTAAACGAATTTGTCCTGGCCAAAAATTGGCAATGGCTGAATTACTCTTATTAATGGTATTAGTATTTAAAAATTATAACGTTGAGTTGTTGAATAAGAATGAGCCATTAAAAGTTAAAACTGGACTTGCCATAAACTGTGAGGAGTTGAAAGTTAGAATTAGCCCTCGAATTTGATTTATTAGTTAGCTTCTAATTGTTCTTTGTTATTTTCAATTTTCGTCGTTTTGAAATTGGCATATATCATTTATAAATTTAAAAATAACTAATATAAATCAGATAGTTTGCTTTTAGTCCTGAGAATAATTTTTCATAATAATGTGTTAAGAATAATATATAGTTATTGAATGCGTAGCAGGCAACTGTAGTTATTTGATAAGCGTAACAATTATATCGTGATCATTATTACACTTACAAACTAGACTTGTGTATGTGGGCGGCTTCGCCGCCTATTTCAGCTAACTTATAATTAGATAATAACTTTACACGACTATCGGCCTCATTTCACTCGATCTCATTTAAAACTTCACACTTTATTATCTTACAGACTAGTACATGATCATGTGGCGACTTCGCCACCAACT